GTATTTTATGTTTTATGGTCAATTTAAATATTTCACCTTGAGTTTATGCACTAAATGCATTATGTGACTAAGTGAATGTATTTATTTATATTTGTTTTTTTATTTTTCTCTGTTTAGAAAGGCCACTACTGTTGTCTAGCCTAGAGTGGTGTTATCTAATCTAGATGTCTAGATTTTGATGTTGTACAGATTTTGGCTGTTTTACAGCTTTGGTTGTTGAGAATTTAGGTTCCTGTCTAGAAAGTGAGTAACTGAAGTCTACCAGAGTGAGTGTGAACTAGTTTATGGCAGCTGTTTACATTTTGTGGTATGGTTAAGGGGTACTATAGAGTACTATTGAGCACATAGTTGAGATCAGATGCAATAAGCAAAGGACAAGTAAGAAAGTTTTGTATAACCACCAACTGCCTTAACCTCTCGACTTTACATTATTAAGGCTGTTCTCATTGGAGTCCAGTCGTGGAATAAAAACCAATAAAATTTATTGTGTGTTTGGCCTCATCATTCCTGGTCTCGCCACATGTGTTTACTCCCTAACCAGACACACAGGTGTGCTGAAGAAACTATATCATTTTTAAAAGTGTACTGCAGCTAAAGAAATTTGATTTTTTGAGATGCACTTGTAATTGCTTTCCCCCTTTGCCATACTTGCCAAAGGTAAAAGGGGTGTCACAGAGGGTTGAAGTGTGTAGTGAACAAGCCAGTGTGGATTTGATCATTTTATATCAACAAAAATTTGAAGATCCCAAATTCTCTTTGTCTTTCCCTGAGAGAAAGAGGGGAAGGGTTGAGATATCCACCCTCAACAGACAGCCGAAGTACCACAAAGGAGGGGGTGAAAGGTTTGCTCCACTCCCAAGTGCTGCTTGGGTAATTTCGGCCATAAAACCTACCACCTCCGGTGAAGTTGAGATAACAGACTCTATGCATGACTGTTAAACTGACAATATTAACATTACACAGAGACTAACCTCAACATGAACCAGGCTGTGAGGACCTCAGTGACCATAAAGGTGTCACCCCGACACTTCCCAGAGACTAATTTCAGCCCAAACCAGCCTATCAGAACCATTTTAAAGAAGGTCAAGAGACGCTAACTGCCCCACACATGCTAGCCATGGCAACCGTGCCCCCCTTTTTTTTATTTTTTAAAGTTTTTTTTTTATATATATATACCTGTGTTGCCCAGCAGCCTGGTATAGAGTATGATGAGCTGGATACTATATTGTGCGAGACAGATTTTACTTTAACAAGAGAGTATTAATATACTCCTTTGTCTGTTTTATTATTTATTTAAATATGTATCGATTTGTCACCGGGCCGGACAGAGCGGCAGACATGGGGATGGGGGGGCACAAACAGACAGCACAGAGAAATGACAACCCCTGCAAGAGAAGGGGGATGGAAGGTGAGGATAACAGGGAATAGCAGAGGGGAAACACCAATTGCAGAAAGCAACGAAACCTGCAATAGAACAGAGAGGGGTGTTTGGGGAGGAGGAAAACAACAAACAAACAATATAAATAATAGTAATAGACAACCAGCCGAACAGCAGCAATAAACAGCTGACAACTAAGAGAAAAATGAAAACAAGAAACAGTCATGCACATTAAATAAGCAACACAGCACAGCCAGGAGAGCTGGAATAATAACAATAAATTTAAATAAGTAACTGAAAGAAAAGCATCAGGAATAATTCTACCAGGGACAACCTAAATTTGTTTGTGTCTATGTGTGAGACTGTGTGTGTCTGTGTGCGTGTGGGTAAATGTGTCTGTATGTGTGTGTGTACATGTGTGTGCACATAAGCCTGTTAAAGAATGTAGTTGTTAGAGAGTGGGATGCCACACCTACCCCAGCAACAGGCAGGCAAGAACCCCAGTAGCAAATAGGGGAGGGAGAAATAAAAAAACAAAAAACAAAATGACTCCCAGATGCACCACGATGCAAATGCGGAAGACCCCGACCCAACCAACATACGCCCCCCAAAAAAACAACCATCCAAATGCCAGTTGACAATGCAATGCCGACGGAATGCAAGAGGCGTACCCGTCAAGGGCCGAGAACTCCAGGCAAAAGCCCACGTGCCCCCCTTTTGCTAATTATTCCAAATATCAAAGATCCCCTTCCTCAGTCTTGACTCTCTACCCCACCAAAGAGCCATAAATTTGGACTCTTAACATGCCCTCTCCCTCTTCACACCCAGTTGTGAAACTGCTGAGAAATTCTGGATGCCAGAGAAGGACACTGCCCCGAATTCCTTTGTATGGACAAATGAATATTGTCTCCTTATAACTTGCCTATTACCTTGTTTAATTAAATAATCTTTGTTAAGTTACTTAGTAGTTCTCGCCACTTTAATTTGAGTAGTTCTATTACCATGTTCTTAAGACTGTGTTGAAAAGAAGAATCCATAAAGAAAGTTAATTTGCAGTGTTCTAATCTTCCTCAATACTCACTGATGTTCCTTTAATTTATACTCATATACTCATAAGTTATACTAATGCTATGCTTCAACACCTTTTTATATATTTTCTTGTTAAAGACCGTGTAACAGAAATATTATCCTGTGCTACTTAATTAATTTTCCAGCTCGAAATGTTGAATAACCACTTCTTCCCTAGTGAGAGTATCAATTGTTCTCTTGTGGAACCAATCTCCCCCAAGAGGACAAACTAAGTATTACAGGTTCCTGTTTCTTTAATCCCTCTCCCGCTGTTTTAATGTATCACTCTGTATTTTATTGGGTATAATCTGATGCCACGTTCGTGTAACTTGCTTATATTCTCTAAGTAAGAATATTTAACAGCCTTGTTCTCTGGTCTCTTCGCTCTTGTTTATGGTCTGCTCTACACGCTTACAGAGCGTGTCCCGTCTCCCAGCAACACCCTAAGGAGTCCGGCCAAGTTTTTTGTTCTTCTTAAGCCACACACACGAAGTCTCGCTCCCTTTCGTGGAAGTTATTCATTTCTTTTGCTTGTTTGTAAAGTTATGAGACCGTTTTAAGTCAAGCAAATTTTAATTCAGAAACAACCAAGTTTGTTTTTAAACTTTATTTCCGTCGAATCAACTAACCTCACTCCTCCCCACGACAATGAAGCCCGGGACGCCAGCCACGTGGGTTATTTACACCAGCAGCAGCCCAAAGGACATGAAAACCCACGAACCGAGCCAAGGTTAACAGCCATCACTGCAAGTTTCTTCAACTAAGTTACCAGCCGAAGTGGCGGACTTCCGGAGCAATTCCCTTGCAGAGAAAGCGACCCGCAGACGGCGGTTGAGCCGTCTCAACCGAGAACGCACGAAACTCAGCCAGCGTGAGGCCGGCCGAACACTAACCGGCTGGAGAAACAACAAGCAGTAAGGAACCAAGGGCATTCTGTGGTTGAGTTGATGTTGATGAGTTATTACCATAACTTGCGTTTATTGTTTCTCTTGCCTCTTTAGACCCAAATCTTTTCCACAATAGACCACTAAATCCACATTTAACTCCATCATTTTCATTGATTGCATCCTGTTTGTTTAATCATTATTGTTGTATGTCTTTGATATATCTAAACTCACTTTATATCCACCTTTAGTTAGTTAATAAATTTCACCGTAATCACAGGAACTGTGTGTGTATTGTTTGACTCCAGGTCACTGTAATGGAGGATTTAAGCCTTCGATATGAGACTGACTGATTTATAGAAATTATTAAGCAATTACTACTAACTGATCACAGGAATAATTGGGTTATTATTAAACCCATAACGTTACCCAGGGAGCCCGGAGACCCTGGAAGAACTGAATTTCTGGTGGTGCCCCCAAATGAGAGAGATATGAATTTATGAATTAATATTTCTGAATAATTAATAATCAGAATTTTTATTTAACCGTCAAGTAGGTATGCTACAAGTGGCATTAGTCTGCAACAATCTTCTCATATTAATATTAACAAATTCTACACAATTACTTAACGTAGTTTGTAGTATACCCATGTGACTAGCACATCTAAAGGCAAATAAGCACAGTTACCTTATCTTCAAATGTAGAAGGACAAACTATTTTTACTTTATTTTTACTTTTCCCTGTATTTCATGTTGTGTGCAAATGTTAAAATTGTTCCTGCATGTGCAGAAAGTCATCTGGAAAGTGAAAGCAGTCCCAGGTTTACAGACGAAACAAAACCTGACATGGCCCTGACACTGGTATAGCAATTATGTGTCATTTATTTCACTGACTTTGATCAAGTTTAAGTCTTGTCTTATCTTGCAGTTTAAGTCATAAAGTCCAGCAGCAGGTCTAATGTATTGCAGTTGATGCCAAACACAAGCCTGATGCAAAGTCCACCCCACCCCAACTCAGACTGATAAATAATTGTACAAATTTTCAAATTATTATTATTTTGATTGCTTGATATTTTAGTAATTGTTTTGATTTTACATTTGATCCTGATTTCTTTTTTAATTATTATTATTATTATTATTTTTTTCCAATCAATTCATTATTTTCTTAATTTATTGTCTATTAATATATACACACACACATGTTTACGTTATTATATATTTTAACGTTTATATATATTTTTTTTTTTTTTTAACACAAACGCTTACTGTTTTATTTATTTGTTTTATTTTAATTTTTTATTTATTTTATTTTTTAACACAAACACATATTCGCTTTAATTACTTTACGCTTTAATTACTTGTTTAATGAAATGTATGGGGTTGATTGTTCTTATGTAGTTTGTATGAGGCTTTGGCAATATTGTTACACAATTTGAATTGAATTGAATTGAGAGAGAGAGAGAGATGGCATAAACAATAATATTAATAACTGAACATGTGTTAAAGATTAAATGTAAGAGGAATCAATTGTCTGCCATTACAGCACCCACCGGAATGACTCAAATTTACCAACGTCATTTGGCTACCAGCCTGCTATTTCCTTATTGCCTTATAAAGGCATGAACACATCTGTAATCTTAGCCTTTCCCTTCCTGTGTTATTCTCGTAAAGTTTCACTTTAGGCCAGAACATTGGTCACACTGTTCTTTCTTCTCTCCTTCTCTCATGTGGTATTGTGCTACGGCCTGGACTACTTCCTGAATCTCGTGAGAGATTTTTGTATAATTGTATCCTGACTTCGGTTTTTGTTTCTGCTTCAGACTCTCCCTCTTCGTAGAGTTTTTCTTGCCAGTCCTCCAGCCTCAGTGTCTCATCTGTGTGTTTCCACTACCTGCCCTGCTCTCACTACATGTCCATTTCCCGGAGGCGAATTTGCGAATCCTATTGGTGAAGGATCTTGTATTGGGGAGAAATAGACTACGGTAGGCCTATGTTATCTAACTATGTATTTAATTTAAACATGATAGTGGGATTTGTGAGGCTGTAATGCTTATTGACAAGAAAACCAAACAGCAAGATGAATAAAAAAATTAATACTTAATACGCAGTCATAGTAAAGTATATTTTAAAATGGTAATATTGTTGTGTTACACGTTGTTACAAAAGGCACACATTTCTACGTCCATCCTTGCAGTACCTACAGGTGCATCTCAAAAATTTACTCTGGGCATTAATCAAACTCTGCCTCCGGGTTTCAAATATGAATTGCAGTTACAAAAATCAGTTTTTTTTCTAATCCTTTCAGATGCACTTGTAATTGTTTTCCTCCTTTGCCATACTTGCCAAAGGTAAAAGGGGTGTCACGGAGGGTTGAAGTGGCATTAGTCTGCATCAGTCTTCTCATATTAATATTCACAAATTCTACACATAACAATTATTTAATGTAGATTGTATTAGTGACCACACAATGTGAATAGCACATCTAAAGGCAAAAAAGCACAGTTACCTTATCTCCAAACATAGAAGGACAAACAATTTTTTACATTTCTGTATATTTTGCTTTTCCCTGTATTTCATGTTGTGTGCAAATGTTAAAATTGTTCCTTCAGGGGCAAAAAGTCATCTGGAAAGTGAAGGCAGTCCCAGGTTTACAGACGAAACAAAACCTGACATGGCCCTGACACTGGTATAGCAATTATGTGTCATTTATTTCACTGACTTTGATCAAGTTTAAGTCTTGTCTTATCTTGCAGTTTAAGTCATAAAGTCCAGCAGCAGGTCTAATGTATTGCAGCTGATGCCAAACACAAGCCTGATGCAAAGTCCACCCCACCCTCTATGTTCTAGTCCAAGCATGACATGAAACCACAGCCTGGGGACTTGATTGAGATCTTCCGGGGCCCCTATCAGCACTGGGCTGTGTATATTGGCAATGACTTCGTTGTTCACTTGGGATTGACAACATTCTGTGAGTCCCCCCCACACACAACTCCATGGACTGCTACTGCCAAATCCTGAACAAAAACAGCCTTTAATAATGGCCCACATTCACTGTCTTTCAGACCAAAATATCAGCTAAGATTGTTTGGTTTAAATTATTCATAATTAATACACCACTCAGAATTGTTGTATTTAGCACATAATCCCGGACATATTATGTCTGTTTCTCTCTCTTTCATTCCTCTTTATTCACAGTTGATGTCGCGGGTGCAGACACCAGCATTATGATGTCTGTCCTGACTGAAAAAGCCATGGTGAAGAAAGAGAAACTGCAGGACGTGGTGGGCGACAACAAGTGGAAAATCAACAACAGCCTGGACGAGAAGTACGAGCCCTGCCCAGTCCAGTTTATTGTGAAGGAGGCCTGTGCACGTGTGGGCAAGGAGCTGCCGTATTCCATCTTCACGGGGAACTGTGAGCACTTTGCAAATGAGCTACGCTATGGAAAAAAAGAGTCCCGGCAGGTCAGTGAACCCAGTCTTTCAGATGCAGGACTCTCTTGAGGCTGGGGTGAAAAACATGAGGGTTCACCAATGTTAAGGGTATAATCAGAGGAGTCTGAGTTAAGATAAGTTAGAGCTTATTGATCCCACCCGGGGGAAAATTACTTTCGTTACAGCAGCTCCAGATAAAACAAAACAGATCATGAAACAGACATACACATGTGATTGATATGAGTTTAGTTTATTTGCTAAAAACAAGCATGGCATACCACAAAATATTGTGCAAGTAGTTTTGGTCATCCAATGAGCTTTAAGCATACTAGGCGACCATCCAAAAACTGACATGTAGTTGATGAGAGGCCAAGTAGGTCAGATTTATCTGCCTAGCGCTGACTGTCCAAAGAAGTCCTATCCAATTGACCCTTCACACCCCCCTGTTGCACTGTTGCAAACTGTCGGACCTGTCGGACTTTTATCACAAATGTCTTCAATGAACAACAAAAACAAAGGAATTTGCCTTGCTGTTCCAATACATTTGGTGGGGACTGTATAATGAGTATAATAAGAAGTAAATTTTTAGTATAAAAAACACAATGCATTTATATACAGTATATACATACATATATATACCTGCGATGGACTGGCGACCTGTCCAGGGTGTACCCCCCCTTTCGCGCAATGTCAGCTGTGATAGGCTCCAGGCCCCCACGACCCTGCACACGTGATAAGTGGTTGACGATGTATGGATGATGGATGGATGGACATACATATATATATTAGGGAGCCACTCAAAAATAAAGTTTCTAATTTTCATCTTCGCACCCCCAAATGTGTTAATAATGTGACAAAAACTAAGTTGACAAGATTTGGATGTATTCTAATACTATTTACTGGTAGCTCGACACTGACAACGTTTTACAGTATGCAACATTTCCCTTCCTTTAATATCACGAGTTAGAATAATGCAAAAATCCTCTAAAAGAAGACCAATAGCTGCTAACAGTTACTTCAGAAGTTAATAATCAACAGTTAAGTATCCATAAGTATCCAGATAATGACTGTATTGCAGCTTTAGCAACAGCTTCATGTGTTTACTTGTAGGGTAGCTGTCCAGCTCATAGAGTAGCAGCAGATCATTGTGCATATTGATGTGTCCTTGGCCAAGATAATGAACCCCAAATTGGTCCTGTTGGCTGTACCATCAGTTTATGAATGTGTGTGAATGAGTTTCTGATTCTGTCGTACAGACTACATAACTTTCAGCGCCGACTGATCACCGTTCAGACTACACAACTTGCTGTCTTGTGGGAGTTTTGAAGTTGTTGTGGCATTCACATTACGTGACTGATAGTAGAAAGGGGGTCACACACTACAGGAGCTGACAACAGCTGTGTCACCCGATGGCTGGTCTCCAAACCACGTTTTGTCAAGAAAACACGTGAAATGTGACATGACGCAACACTATATGCAAAGCAGCTGTTTAGATAGCAATTATAATTGCATTGCGCTCCAAGAAATAGAAATGACAGCTGAAGAAGTGGCTGTCTCGTAAAGTGACCTCACTTAAAGTGACCTTCTTTACTGTACCAGAAAATGACTGGTAGCTGGTGCTAAAAATGAGAATAATTAAGTATAACTTGACACACAGATGCGGCTGGCATGGTGGTGCGGTGGTTAGCACTGTCGCTTCACAACAAGAAGGTTGTTGAACTTCGGTCGTCCCAGGCCTTTCTTTGTGGAGTTTGCATGGTCTCCCCGTGTCTGTGTGGTTCTGTTCATGTTCTCCTGCTTCCTCCCATAGTCCAAAGACACGCATAGGTTAATTGGTGATTCTTAATTGCCCTTATTTGTGAACGTGTCTGAATTGTTTGTCTATGTGTGTTAGCCCTGTGATGAGCTAGCAACCTGTCCAGGGTTCACACAGTGACAGCCGGGATTGGCTCTAGCCCCACCCACAACCCTGCATAGAGTTAACTATACAGTGGATTACGGCTGCTATAGTGCTAACCCAAAAATATTATTCTGATTACATGGTATTTAAACTATGGTATTTAAAATAATAACACATATCAGATAAAAAAAAACATTTACAAGAACAGTTAAATGATAACAATACTTACTCAAGGATTAATTTACTTTGGTAGAGAAATTTTGAATCAAATAACATTTTAGTACGATACGTGTACATACGAAAACATTTGAGCCCATTGAGCTACCAGTAAATATTAATATATCTGAATGAAACTTTCCACAGTTACTATGCGCCATAAAAAGAACAGAATGGGGGTGGGACTTGGAAAATATTTTTAATAAATTTGGACATTAGATTGAGTGGCACCCTAATATCTATATATATATATATATATATATATATATAAACAATAATAGTAATAATAATAGTAAAAGCATGCATTAAAAACATGCATAAAAGATTAAACACTTGTAAAGGCAGGCTTATGGCAATATAATGTATATTGAACCTGCTTCCATCTCAGACATGCATAGATGTCGTCCATCTGAAACTGTTCAAGTGGTAAGCGTGGTTTGGCCTTAAAGGTTCAGTGTGTAATATTTCTGAGGATCTATTGATATAAATGCAATATAAGGTCTATAACTATGTTTTCAGTGGTGTATAAAGACCTGACATAATAAACTGTTATGTTTTTATTACCTTAGAATGAACCATTTCTATCTACATAACCGCGGTTCCCCCTTACATGGAGGTCGCCATGTTGCGCCGCCATGTTTCCACAGTAGCTGAAAATGGACAAACGGCGCTACAGATCACGTTTAATCATCATGTTGTTCTTCTTCTTACAGTCTAGTTATCAGAGTAGTTATCTGGTTTATTAGAAGTAAGATGAGAAGTGAAATTTGGACAAATGGAAGACACATTATTTAGCACAAGCCGATGGAGCATGAATCTTCTTCGTCAAAGAAGCAAAAACATGGTGAAGCCAGACGGAGTCGGGACAGATGCATTGCAGACAGATGACGGCAGAAATCAAGAATATAACTGTTGTGGATTTTCCCAGATGGTAGGCTCTGATGTAGGACAAATGTTTTCAAAGCTGTTGGTATGTTCCAATTTCTCCGTGTTTGGTCCAACAATGTTGCATTAACATGACTCTGTTCCGTTGTTGCCTTTTTTGCTGACAATATAGGCAACTATCTAAAAACTAAAATGTAGTTGCCAAGAGGCTGAGTAGGAAAGACTTATCTAAACAGTTTCACAGGTAGCCTACTATACAAGCGTCCAACAGCAATAATGTCCATAAAATGCAATAGTCTGCGTAGACAGCAGTCCGCAAAAATTAAGCTATCCACACCCCCATCCCAAGTGGTGAACAGGTGATATCCCAAATTGCTACCAGCACCACGTGATTCAACAACCAGAAGCAACCAAAAAGCCGTGTTCAAGAACCCCACACCTCATTCCTGACTCCTACACATAGCCCACATTTGAAGGTTGTTACTTTGTTACAATTTTATGGTATTTATTCCCCATCTGAGATCTTCTGGAGCCTGTCTCATAGAGAATTAACAGTTGTTCAAATAATTTTCATATGTGTGGATTACTGAATTTGTCTGAAAAAAAACCTAAATAAATGTTAGAGGTAGCTTACTAAATATGTCTGATACACACACTTAACATGTTTAATGTATATTTATAACAGTGTAAAAGCACATCTACAGTTGGTTGGTCAGATTTATTGCAGAGATTTACAGGTGCATCCCATACAATTAGAATGTCGTGTTCATTTTGTTCTATACATATTTAGTAAACAAAGTGAAATATTTCGGGCAAGATTTAATCTTGATGATTATGGCTTACAGCTCACGGAAATTAAAAATCCATATCTCAAAATATTAGAATATTAGAATAAAAAAGATATAATACAGAAATGTCGACATTCAGAAAAGTTGAACAGTTCTGAAAAAGGTTAATTCACTCAGTACTTAGTCCAGTCCCCTTTACACGAATTACTGCATCAATGCAACATGGCATGGAGGCAATCAACCTGTGGCACTGCTGAGGTTTTATGGAAGCCCAGGTTCCTTTGAAAGTGGTCTATCTTGTCGGTCTAGTGTCTCAGATCTCCAGGCAGAGACATTTAGGTGAATCATGTTTTCTGACAGTTATTTCAGAGGTGTGTCAAGCAGGCTACAGACTCTATCAATGTTGTTCAAAATCTTTTATAGTAAAAGCTCAGTTCAACTCTGAATACAGCACTGCTATGAAAGTATTTATTTATTTATATTTATATATTTTACAAAGCACCATAATCTGGCAGCGGACCAGATAATATTGATGGCGGGCAGTTTTGGCGAGGGTCCATAATCACAGAGAGAATGAGTGTGTTTCCCTTGTCAATGTTTGTATAAACTTTATTTAATGTGTGGTTTATAATGGACTGTGGTGCAGAAACAGTGACAATGTTAAAAACTCGTAACTTGGCTTACATTTTTCATGTTGTCTGTCAGTGGCCAAGTCACAATAACATATGGTTTTACTGAATAATTAAGTAAATATAATTTCTTAATAAATATACCTAAAGAAACCTCATTTCTTGACTGGCCACTCTCTGCTGTCTCAGAAGAGACATTTTTTTGTGCTGTGTCAGCCACCGTAGCTGTCCTACGCTCTTTGAAAGGTAGGGGGCAGTGGTAGAATGGACAGATGGTTGCAATTCACAACCCTCACTACTAGATGCCACTAAATCTTACACACATACAGCAAGGTGCAGGCCAGAGTGAGTTTCAAAGCTTGTCAAGATTATCAATGAATTAATTGAAGCAGGCTTGGTAAAAGTTAGGTCAGTTACAATGGATTTCAATAGTGAACTGTTTTCATGGTGAGAATCAATTCATCTAACCCCATTGACAACATCATCTATGGATCGGCCATCCATGTTCTAACATGTGAGTGAAATATTTCCCAGAATTGTGGGTACTTTGAATGGAATTTTGAATGTCAAGATGACTCTGCTTATCATACCTCTGCTTACTAACTACAAGATGTACATTTCCCTCTGCAGGCGCGTAATGCTGTAGCAGTAGCTGTAGGCACGGCTGTGTCTCCAGTAGTGGTTCTGGGTATGGTGTTTGCACCCAGAACCACAATGGTGATTCTGGGTATTATCACACTGGCAGCTGTGGCAAGAGATCGGTTTGGAAGCGGCAAAAAAGAAAACAAAAGGAACACACAGTGATGGAAGGCACACGTCGTCTTCACAGGGGCTTGATTAACAGATCACCATGAAAGCTTAAGGGTGCTAATAATAATAATAATAATAATAATAATAATAATAATAATAATAATGCATTACATTCATATAGCGCTTTATTATTGAAACTCAAAGCGCTTCACAGTGAAGTAGGGGGGTCTTACCTCAGCCACCACCAATGTGTAGCACCCACCTGGGTGATGCACTGCAGCCATTTAGCGCCGGAATGCTCACCACACATCAGCTTGAGGCAGAGAAGGAGAGAAACATTGAGCCAAGTACTAGGGGGGATGATTAGATGGCCAGATGGTAAAAGCCAGGTTGGGAATTTTGCCATGACACCGGGGAACCCCCTACTCTTTGCAACAAGTGCCATGGGATCATTAATGACCACAGTGAGTCCGGATCTCAGTTTAACGTCTCATCCGAAGGACGGCATCTCCTACAGCACAGTGTCCCCATCAATGCACTGGGGCATTGGGATTTTATTATTAAGACCAGAGGGAAGACTGCCCCCTACTGGCCCACCAACACCTCTTCCAGCAGCAACTTAGTTTTCCCAGTAGGTCACCCATCCAGGTGCTGGCCAAGCCCAAAAGCTGCTTAGCTTTGGTCATTCAGCAGTAGCAGGGTTTACATTGGTATGGCTGCTAATCTGATCATGCACAGAAAACACTTTTTTATTACATGCAAACACCATAGACTGTATATAAAAGGGCAAACACCTGTGATTTAGACATAAGTTTGGCTAATTTCTGTCTTTCCTGCTCAAATTAACTGCCGTCTCTCCCTTATGCCACCTTTATAATGTGAGGCTTTTGTTTGAAATCATGGCCCTATATTTTTCAGACTTTTTAAAATTTCTATAGACAGCATGTAAAAGCACAACAAACAGTTTCCACAAATTAAGGTGCCAAGATGAAAGTGAAGTAATGAAGTTTAAATGTTTTAACATGGAGTTTTTGAAGATAACTATAGATTTTTATTGGATTGTGATGAATGTGAGGTTCACAAGGTTGGGGGATCTTTTCTGTATAAAAAAAATGTTTGCTGGTAGCTGCAAATGAAAAAATATTCCTACTCAAATCAAAGCTAAACAGTTCTGAAGTCTAAGTAGTGATTCTTGTTAGCCAATATATTAATAAGCTTTCCACACGTATATTTTGCATAATCAAAATAAGCTAATATGATGATATTCTGCTTGCATCTCTCAGAAAAGCCATGTAATGTATTGTAATGTGCACTGACCTACCATTTATGAATTGTGGGTCATTGGCTGAAAGGAGACATGGACGGAACCAATTAAACACTCCTGCTTTCTTGCTTGCTCCCGTTTTCTTATATTTTATATCTGAGTTCTCTATTATCTGGAATTTACAAGGTTTTGTCTTAAATTTAGTGTTTTGAATAAAGAAGAATTTGTGTGATTATAGATTGTAGTCTTTTTTTCTGCAACGCGGTGTCGCTCTCACACAGGATCCTAGTACTTGACCTCAGACTAGTTTCAGTTTTGAATTCATTAAATCTTGGTTTTAGCTGCTTACTTACTTCCCTTAGTCACTTTTGAGAAGCAGCATACTGTATTATTACTGTATTAAACACTATTTGTTTTGTTCTCATTCTCCTTCCTCTTTCTTCTTTTTTAGCTTTGCTGCTTGGATCCCTATTTGTTTTGTTCTCATTTTTCTTCCTCTTCTTTCTTTTTCACCGCTAAAAGTGTTTGGGAAGCAAAAACTGCTGCACGAACACCCACTACTCAGGCAAAAACATGGCACTCGTAGATCTCATGGTGCTATAACAATTGATGCATCTATTCGATGCTCGGCCGAGGCCAGTCCTGGGATATTCTTCCACTAGGGGGCACTACACTTTCAAAAAGTTTATACCTCGTAATTCGCTGGATGGATTCGTACAAAATCCAGTTTGTAAGATCTAAGGTCACTACTCAGTTGATGCATAAAATTTGGAAATGATTGCTCAAAGTGGTCATGGCTTATTACAACAAATGTAAATTTCTAGACATTTCTCATTCCAAACTTCAATAAATCTAAGAAAATCCCCATACATCCTAGAGCTGAAATTTTTCAGCACATCCACTTGCCTCACTGCAACCTATGGTCAATTCAGAAGTCAGTCACGCTATATTTTTCAGAATATGCTAATTTTATTAACTCTATATCTCCACAAATTTTTCTTCAAATGCTACCAAAATCCACACAGACATTCTGTAGATGGCCCATATCAAGTGTTGCAAAGGGTTTTTATATCGGTCAAACAGTGAGTCTGCACTAATATTCAGTATCTTACTTAACTTACAGTATGCACAACATTTTCTTTTTACTCAGTGTTTGATCAAACACCACCAAAATAATACAACACACCCAAAACCAGCAGAATAATTCTCATTTTTTTTCTGAATTTTCCACCAGCATTTTGACAGTGGTAAGCGTTTTAAGTTTAAACTGACAAAAATATCCAGGTCTGGCACATGTGACATTACTACCTCAACTTGTGAGGTATGTGGAAAGAACCTCTCACCAGTAGCTTATTCAGTAAGTCACCTTGAGCATTTAACAAACATTAACAGCAGCAATTTCTCTTCAGTGCCCAATACAATAGAGGTGAATAGATGATCCACTAAATTATTACTATTTTCATTGTTGTATTTTCTCCTAATGAGTCCACATTGACCTCTGTTGAAATTTTCACCTCCTGTATGTGGCAGAGGCAGACATCTCAGAGATGGATACCCGGCCAGTTCAGTACAGTAAAAGTGTTGAATGTGAAAAGTAAACACAACACATTTTGGTTCCTTGCCAGGAAACCTTTTGTGCGCCACCAAATATGCAGTTTCATCAGCATAAAGCTCTAAATTAATAAATATAATAATAATAATAAATGAGAACAAACTTGTGCCAGGTCATTGATAAAGATCGAGAAAAGTAAGTTGCCTAAAGTTGAGCCTTGAGGAACACCTTTATCAACAATTAAATAATCTGACTGGAATCCTTGGTAAACAACACAATGACGTCTATTATGCAAATAGGAATTAAACCAGAGCACAGCATGTTTATTCAAACCAATAGAGTAAAGCTTATCCAGTAGAGGGTAATGGTCAACCATATCAAAGGCCTTTGAGAGATCAATGAAAGCAGCACCAATTAAATGACCATTATCAAAACCCGAGAAGACATCATTTGTAAATTTTAAGAGAGCAGTTGAAATAGAAAAATTTGATCTGAAGCCAGATTGATGTGGAGATAAAATGTTATAATTATGTACTCAGTGAGTTGATTAAAATGAATTTCTCTAATATTTTAGCAACTGCGCAAATGATAGAGATCAGGCTATAATATTCACATTCGATTGGTCTCCACCTTTGAAAAGAGGTGTCACTCTTGCACCTTTCCAAATTTGTGGCTCAGTACAGGTAGTTAATGATAGATTAAAAAGATCCATAATCATCAAAAGAGGAACATCAATATGTGAGCTGCAATTTTGATAAACTTGGCTTCCAGATCATCTGGTCCTGCACTGTGTTTTAATTTAAGGTCATGTAATACATTAAAGACATCAGTAGGCATGATCTTTTTAATCTGTTCTCCTTGATGTGATCCACCTGTTTTATGTTCCCGCCCTGCTCGTTTGCCTCACTACTAAATGTCTGTGTTCTGTTCAGTCTGTGTTGGATCATTGTGGTTTGTCGCATGTAGTCTGTGTTTGCTCTGCGTTTGGGTCCTCAACCTTGCTCACACACTGCAAAATCGTAACAACATTTTAGTTGGCCATTAATATTGCCTTTCTTTATTAGCCTATTTCAAAGCAATATCAGTACCCCGTAGAATGTTGTTGTCAGTGAAAACTAAATGTTATAGTGTCCCTGTTAATGCTCTCGTATATCCTTCATTCATTGACCAGATGGATATTGAAGATATTTTAGGAGAGAGAGAGAGAGAGCGAGAGAAGCAGGAAATTGGCAGTGCAGCTGATTCTGAGGTCAGTAGTTGTCTAGGCACCAAGGCAAAGCCTAAACTACATCATTTCATGATATTTACTATATTCTGTAGATGTTGCCTAAATGGCTATTTTTACATGAGCATATACACACAGGAAAATATAATAAAATAAAAGCAATCATACATACATGTATCCATACATATAGTAATCATTACTCCAAATTTTTTAATCCTTCCACCATCAGGTTATTAAATTCAGACAGTAGCCACCTTAAATAGGATCCTTATCAACAGCTTACGTATGTATGTTTGTATGCACGCCAAACTATAGAGCAAAATCACACTCTGATTGAACCAATCTACAGTGCGGTAACAGTAATTAGTGTAATTAGATAGCACCTACAATTTATCTAAGAGAAAAGAGGAATTAGATATTGTAGTATCCAATACTTATGCATTTGACTCATAACAGTTCAAAATATCACTGTAGCAGCAAGACAGAGGGTCAGTGACCTTCTACGGGGAGAGCAGTGATTGGTGGTTATGTAGGAACTGAACCCTTCTATAGAATTTGACCTCTAACCCCTTGGTTTTGTTACCTCAAGATAGTACTGTACCTTTCTATGGGTTTGACCTTTTACTTTGCAGACTCAAACCCTTCTATGGTACCTAAACAAATACCTAAACATATCCTATATAAGCTATGTTTGATGAACAGAGAGAATGAGTGGCCATCGGGCTGGGTCACTCTCCAAGCTGCTGCAGAGCTTGTAATTGATGCTGAACTCCTTGATTTAATAAACTTTTATGATCAAGAACAGTGTCAAGCGGGTTTCCTCTCAACACATCATCGCAGCATTATTGTTCGGACACCACAATATGGTATTACGTTATCACACATTTACATGAGTAGCTGGGCAGCATTTAAGGCACAGCTTACAAAAGAACTCAATCCGGCCTAAGTGAATTCCCTCATGAAGCATTGATGTGTCTAAACACATGGGCGTCGGAGCCATTGTATGTGGTGAGACAAGACCCACCCACTTTTTAAGACTAATGAAATTGGACCCACTCACTTTTACTTCACCTTTCAGAGTATCATCAATCACATCCATTCCACTTGAGGAATGCACTAATAAATTAAACTCCATTCTATAGCCGTCACTTTCACGCTGCTGCTTCTTCAAATCCATATCACTTAGCTCATTTAGTGTCCATATAAGTTCCTCCACTCCATTTCTTGTTTTCACTGCTCGCACCTGCTGCACTGCTGCGACACAGCGAGGTACACAAAGCATTTTAATATACCTGCTTCTCAGGTGTGTCTTTGTGCTCACATACTATCCTAAAAAGCCGCTTTTTAAGTGAATGTTCATCATTTGTTCACCTGGGGCCATATGACATAAAGTTCCTATCTTAAGTCTTAAGTTAAGATAGGAAGAGTCTAAGATAGGGTTTTTCTCAATTTGCTATTACAAAAGCAAATCCTAACTACTACTACACTATTACTT